ATTAACAGGATGAAAGGCTGCGTGTTTGTGACTCTGGGGACAATAAAACAGCTGTAATCAGACTGAGTCTGTGGGACGCTCGGCTGCTGTGTCGTCCACACTGATGGACACCTGTCTGTCACAGCTGGAGATGATGTAAATGTGCAGGTCAGAGGGAGTTTCTCCTGTGCAGAGGTCTGATTGTATTCCGACCACACTTCATGCTGAAATATGTATGCAAATCCAGCCGCTGCGGCGATCCCCTGGGAAATACGGGAGCAGCTGAAAGTACCCGACTACAGTAACGTCTGTGGAAGTGGCCGACAGCCTGACAGCTCCCTGAATGTCTCCAGAGTCACAGCATCAGAAAGACCTCCAGCATAAGCTATCAGTGAGCCTCCACAGACTGCTGTTTGTCCTTCACTGATCGATGTCCTCGGACGAGTTTTAATACAAAGATAACCTGAGTGAAAATAAACTGCAGTTTTTAATGCTGATTGTATTTATCAAGGGAGACGAGGTATCTGCCCAGCAGCACTGCAGTCCACACTTTGTGGTGTGTTGATGGTGAGTGTTTCACGTCTCTGTGGAGGAACTTTGTCCCACTCTGAATAGTTGGAGGCTTTTCCAGTATGAGCGCCTGTCTAAGGTCACCTCAGTCTGATTAAGTCCACACTTTGACTCGGACGCTCCAGAACCTTCATTTTGTCTTCAGAGCCAATCAGAGGTGGAGCTGCTGCTGCTGCATGACTGCCGGGCCCACATTCTCCTAGAGAGCAGCTCAGACCATCACGCTCCCACCGCCGTGTCCGACTGCTGCTGTGATGTTCTCTTTATGTTTAATGCAGATGTAACGGGACTCAAACCTCCCAACGTTCAGCTTTTGTCTCATCAGGCCACGGGATGTTCTCCCAGAAGTCTCGGAGATCATCCAGATGTTTTCACTAGGCCGGTGTTCTGGCCTTAGTCACCTAGCAGACTAACCTACATGTTCCTTCCTTCAAAGGTGGAGCAGTGTGTGAACCGGCTGAAGAACATGAAGCTCGATGCTGCTCTTCAGGAACTGTCAGATCTGTGTCCGAACAGGATCCAGAGGTAAGTCTGCGGCTCGCTGTGAAGTGTGTGACGTGCAGAGCAGGTCTTGTGCACAATGAAAATGTGTGTAGCCCGACTTTATTCCCACAGTAGACCGGGGGTGGGCAACTGCATGAATGAAGTCCTCTCAGCATGCAGACGGACGTCTTTATAGAAGATAAGACGGAGATTCAAACTGTGAAATTCTGTGTGGATGTCAGTTTCTGCCACAGTCTGCAGTGGTGTGTGTGTGTGTGTGTTTTAGGCAGCTGAGCATCAAGGACGGCCAGTGTGTCGTTCCCAGTCAGCCCACGCTGGAGTGGATCTGTCTCAAAGTGCTGGGGGCCGCTCGGCTGACGAGCTGCACGCTGCGTCGCTGCAGCAGAGCTTTCACGTATCCTTCTGTGAGGCCGTTCTGTTCTCAGACTCGGCATCGATCTCCGCGTGAACGACGTGCGGATGTCTTCATCTGAACCAAGTCTGACTCTCGTGCCCTCTGCAGGTTTCCCCTTAACAGCTGCTTGTTTCAGACTCGCAAAGCAGCAGATGAAGTGGGAGGAGTTTGTCATCCTGAACGTGGTGATAACCAGCATGCTCAGCCGTCTGTGGTCAGGACGTTTTCTGCAGCATACGTGCATTTAGAGAGAGAGAGCACTAAGTCTGCAGAAAGTGTTAACACGTTGTATTTCGTGCGTTCTCAGGGTGATTTTCCGTGGCGTGCTGCTCGCCCTGTCCGGCCTCTACCGGCAGCTCCTGGAGCTTCTCAGAGACGTAGCCCGAGTCCAGCCCATGCCCTTCCTCACAGACTTCTCCCTGCCAGCTGATCTGGCTCAGTTCCTCGGTCCCTCTGATGCTTTGTTATTGACCAAGCCTGCGGCGCACAGCAGAGCGCGGCAGGAAAAGAAGCAGGCGGCCAAGAAGACCTGCATGCAGAAAAGAAAGCTCAAAGAAGACCTCGGCGTTGCAGTTATAAGAGGTAGTCTGCATTCATGCGCTGTTTTTCCCAAAGCAAACGTGACCTCAGTGAGACGTGAACCTCCCCACTCACATCCCTGATATTTCTCCAGGCGTCGGCCTCGCAGCAGACAGGAAGTCTTTTTTCAAGCTGTGCAGGACTTTCACAGAGGTATGTGAGCAAGCACGTGACTCGTCTCTACTTCTACTGTTTCTAATGTTCACGTATTTACTTCTTCTTCTTGCAACTCGAGGGCAAGTCGACGCCCAAACAAACGAGCAGAGCTGACAGGAGACACGAGTTCCAGAAACAGGTGAGAGAAGCTGCTTCTTTCTCACACGTGGAGATCCGTGTGGACGAGATGATTCGCTGGTGCAAATCCCAGAGGATGGGAAAGGAAAAACGCCTTTTAACCTTCCTGCAGTTAAAGTGCCGGCAGATGAAATGCCTGGAGGCAGCGGGCTACAAGTAAGAGCGACACTTTCTCAGGAAGTCTTCCTTTAGCGTTCTGCAGAGGTGCTCATGTTCTCTCTTCTCGTGCTTCAGCGTCCAGAGGAAGCTGCAAACCTTCAAAAAGGAAGCTTGCTGGGCTTCATCTCCAGAAGGATCAGCGCCAAAGACCTTACGTTCGCTCGCCTCGAGGAGACGTGTCCACGGGAGAATTCGTTTTCATACTCTCAGGAGGTTTATGATGAGAGGCGGCGTAAAAAGGAAAGAGCAGGCGGGACGACAGACACGAGCTCGACTCAGCGGGGACGACCAGAGAAGCGGGACTGCACGAGAGGCGACGTGTCGGAGCACGGTCACTCACGATGACATCGATGACATTTTTGCCTCTGCAGGTCTGTGAAGCCCGAAAGCGCCGATGTAAGGTCACAGACAGACGAACAGTCTGAGCAGGTTTGGAAGCAGAAGCTGTGCTCGCCATGTTTAATGTGTCTCTCATTAAAAGCTATAAAGCGCGGAAACAACTGAACCCCCCCAGACTAAAAGATTCTGTTTTAATTTGGGTACGCATGGAACACACACTCACAGCCACTTCATTAGGTACGCCTGTTCCAGCTGCTCGCATGCACACGTGTAACCGCTGGTTCGCATCAAGATATGCAGTAAAGCATCTGTGGATGCACAGCACGTCAACGGTTAAAGGTCACAGCGAGCGTCGCTGCTGAGGTCCAGCCGAGCTGGTTTCCTGAACTTGCCTGAAGGATGTTGGCTGCAGTCTCAAAGCAGAGCCATGATGAATGAACCCAACCCAGTATTAGACACCTGATACAGTGGATGTGTGAAATCAAATGTAAGAGAAAATAAATTAACTGATGGAGCTGAAATATGACTGTGTGAGTAGAATGCTTATTTAATGAGCATGCAGACTGAAGCCTGTGCTTATGGTTTGAAGCATGCATGCAGTGGCAGCATGTTTACGTGCTTCTTCTGTCTGTCTGAAGGAAATTTAAATCCGTTTGTGCAGCTGTGCCAGTTTTTAATAATGTTCGAAGTCACGCACTACAGATCTGAACAAGGCTTTTACAGTAGTTGGTGTATTTGGCTCCCCCTGGTGGGCTCGAGGATCAGCGCACAGACAAATTCCAGGCTCGATTCATCTTTGGGAATACGGAATAATTCTTTCATCCTACGGCCCGCGGCCGAAGCAGCGTGAGACGGCTCAGGTGTCAGCAGGAAGGAGTCTGTGCTGAAGGCGTCTCAGAGCCTGCAGTGGCTTCTGTTAGCAGACACACGGGCACCGGTCCTGCTCTGACACCAGCAGCCGGCACACAAGCTAAAAGGTTTGTTTTCTTACAGCCACTATGTTTCATCATCACCTGCCAAAGAAGATGGAGTCGTCCCATCTGCACCAACGCTGCGGCTTTTATCTCCGTCAGAGCTTCACTGGGCTGAGTTACAGTCTCACATCAAACTGCCAGATCTATTTGAACACAATACTTAACTTTCTGGGTTTGTCAGGGTCCACTCTTATTTTTCACAGCCTGGAGGTGAGGAAGAGGTGCAGGAGGAAAATCGTAAAGGTCTGCATCATGTATGAGAGCAGAAACTGAGCTGAGGCAGAAGGTTAGTCTTGATTCCACTTGTCTCATTTATCATTTAAATAAAAAGTAATACTTCTGTAACATTAGGGAACTTTCTCCTGTTCACCAAAATCACCACACGGGCCTGCTGTTCTTCTTGAATGTAATATCGATAACCTTGGACTAATGCTAAATGTTAATAAATAATAAAATAAACACAACCTACGTCAGTTAGGTCTCTCAGTATTTTGTAGCATTTCTTTGCACTTTTGCCTTTTTACTGCGCAGTCCCGGATCACGAGCGCTCCTCTACAGCTGACGGTCTTCAGTTCTCCCTGCAGACGTGTCTTTGTGCCGGCCAGTAACTCTTCTGGAGGTCGGTCTACATCAGGAGTGACTCCAGGCTTCTTTCTGTTTCTCGAGTCTAAACTGGTTTCTTTAGTTTTTGGCGTGACGGCTCAAAGCCTCGCTGAGTCTAAACTGGGAGATGACCCTCAGTTTAGACTTGATTTTGCAGCTTTGAGCGATTCTGTGATTGAGTGCAAAGATCAAAAGTCTGGAGTGAAGTTTTTCACCTACATGTTAGCTGGTTACAGCTACACTCAGTATGCATGTGAAGGCTTACCATCAAAATAAACAGCAGAGGCAGCACAAACCTCCAGTCTGCGTCTGTAAACACGTGAATATCCCATTAAGATCAAACAGACTGTGCATGTGTAGCTTTCATGTTTTACAAAGTGTTGCTGTGATAAGATGAATTTATATTTCCAGGTCTTCATTCACCTTAACTTAGACACAGCCCCTCCATTGTCCAGTGTTGGCGGACTGTTACCTGAAATAGATCCACTTTTACCATTTTCAGCATCATTATCAGGCGCGTGCGGCGAGGCTTCTGCGGCGCGTGCGGCGAGGCGTCTGCGGCGCGTGCGGCGAGGCGTCTGCGGCGCGTGCACCTCGGGTCAGTGTAGCGAGACCACGCGGTCGTCTTCTGTCAGCTGGGACGTGTTTAATAGCATAATTGTAAAGAGCTGGTCCTACACGGCTGAGTCGGCGCTGCAGATAAATATATATTTTTGAAGGTGGTTCTCCAGGGCGGGTATAAAGGTCTGTATTCCCAGTTTACTGTTCTTCAATTTATTTTCCTCACACCTTAATAGCAGAAGAGGAATTGTGCCCATAAATGTTTAAAGGCTCTGCTTTTTTATAGCACGGAGCTTTGGGATTGTCAACATTTGTACTCTGAGGTGTGTTAAATTAATCACATCATTACCTCCACAGGAGGAAAAAAGCTGATGGAGTAATGGTGCCGTGCACTCCTCAACGAGGCCTGCAGTGGAACAACGAAGGCAGAAAATCACCCAGACTGGGGAAAAAGAGAAACCATGCAAAGTCTAAATTTTAACGATGTGAGCTCTGAATATAAACAATAATATAATTTGTGTATATCTCATCTTTGCCTTTATTTTAGAAAACTGTCTCATATATCAGTTTTCTCGGATGAATAGAGAATAAAGAGAAGGATTAAAAAGTGTGAGCACAGACGGTGGTTTACAAACCTCAGTGAGAACCGGCCCAGAGAGCTCACTGACATTTTATTGCCACCTCCATAAACGTGGTCTGCAAAAGTCCCCGTCGTGCAGTTTCCATCCACTCATTCATTTTCTATACACACTTTTGCAAGAGGCACAGTGCCCATTACACTGCAATAAAAGCTGCACTGCCTCTGCTTTAGACGAGCGTAAGGCTGCAACATCCGCTTTAACAGGACTGAGTCTCAGCATCACACCTGGATTTTATCTTCACAGCATCGGCCATGCATCTTTAAAAAAATCATCATCTCTGTTCTAACAATATGTAGGAAGACATGGCGGTGCTGCTCCTGTGTCTCAGAATAAAATATTTCTTCTACGACAGGACAGGAGAACTGACATTTTGAGTTTCTGTAAAAGGCAAAAACATGTCTGGGACGCTCTTTATTCTTACTTTGGCTAATATTTAGCCAGAGGTCAGGGTTCACTGACAGCAGGTGGTTTTATTGTCATGGAACTGCTGACCTGGCATGTCTGAGCTACAACACTTGTTCTTAATATTATGTCTCAGTGGGCGTTTCTGTGAATCACAGACTGGAGGACCAACAGTGAAGGGGATGAGCCGACTGGACTCTGTGAGGAACCTCAGGTCCTTCCGTTTGTGCTGGAGAACTTCTGTCCGTCTGTAGCAGCATCAGCAAACTAGTCCACCAAGCTGGAACCTCATTGGTCAGAATCTGGAGGTGTTTGAGTCAGTGAGGGGCCGCAGTTCACTAAACACACCGTCCTCCATCATGGACAATCACAACTAGTGATGTGCGGATCGATACTGAAATATCGATTCCTCCGATACCAGTCCTTTATGTTCTATAATCGACTCACAACAATGGCTGAGTGTAATTGGAGTTACGTGCAGACGTATTTTACCTCCACAAACAGCTGAGATGTGGTTTGCAATACATGTGGCAAGACAGTGAGGTGTTGTGGCAACACCACTAACCTCGTGAAATACGTCACAGGAAATCAGATCACAGAATATGACGAGCGTATGTTGAGGCGAACTGAAGAGGAGGAGAGGGACAGGTGCTGCTAGGGCGAGACAGACGTCTCTCACGGAGTCCTTTAGTGCTGCAGGCAGGCAGCGTGCTCAAATAGCCACAACTTCAGGTTTTTTATTTCTATATGATGAATTCTGCATTATTAAGTGATAAGAGCAAGTAATATGATGTCCTGTAATCATGATGATGCTATAATGTGAGATACAATAAATAAAGTAAGTTTTTGTACAAAGTATCAGTATCGTCGATACCACCCTGAATTTTACTTGGTATCGGATCGGAAAGGAAATCAGTGGTATCGCACATCACTAACCACAACTGCGCCGGTCCGGTCAGCAGAGCTCCTCCTCCCTGAGAATTATCCAATCACGCTGCGAGAAAGAGCGGTTCAGGAAGTCCTTCCCACCGTCCTCGGAAACCTCTCCTCTTTGTAACAGGTGAAAACACCTGTCAGGACACAAGACTCCACACAAGTCTGTTTCTCATATTTAAAGTGTTAAAGCTATAGAGCTATTTATTTGAGTTTTGCTCTAATATTCACAAGAATTTGCTTTTCCACAATCCGTCTTATTTTTATTTATTTTTTCATGTAAAAAATGATTTTCACATTGGTTTATGTAAAATTTTGCACTGCCTCACATCCGTCAGTATGAAGTACTTGTTGTTTTCATTGTAGATCATAATATTGATAATCTTATTCTTGAAGCTGCTGCTGGAGCACCGTCACTGTACACAACCATCGCAGGGTTCGTGTGCTAGCTGTGGGGTTTCCCTTACAATACAAAGCTCCGTAAGGCTCGTGCTGTTGTGAGTTGGTGGCGTATAAATCAAACTGAACTGAATTCAGAGTATTGTTTATTTTCCCTGCGGTGTCACGTCACAGAAACCTGGACGTCTTAAAAGTTCCTACAGCATGTTTTGAGTATTAACTCCGAGGATTCATAGACAGTAACTGTGCTAGTTTTACACCACTCTGTTACACTGAACTGTTTTTGTTATTTATTTTAAATTATTAATTAATCATTCATAATTATTAGTAGTCTTTTTTTTTTATTAGTAGTAATCCTGTCCGGTTAGAAATCCAAGTAAACGTTGGCAATCAGGCTGATTACGTCACATCCTGCCGTTTGCAGCTTGTACTTCCGGAAGGTGGGGCTTTTGTTGCGGGAGCGGTTTGTATATGTAGACCAATGCCTCTGTGTTCGCTGTTAACGCGCTCAGCAAGATAGCGGCAGCCTCGGGCAGACAAGCGGATCGTGCTTCGGTAAGGCTCCGGGCAGCCCCGGTCAAGCGGAACACCGTGAGTCTGTAACCGGGGCTTTGGGGAGGTTGACGGTACCGCACCTGCTGTAAGGACGGGCGAGCACCCCGCGGGTCCAAAGGCTGTCCTCTCAGCACCCACGGCTGTGAGGACACCGGGACACACACTGGTGACTGATTAGCTGTCTCTGTGGAAGCTAACGGCAGGCACGAGCTGTTTGTTTGGCCGGTCGTTAGCTTAGCTTCCAGTGACGGTGTAGCCTCGGTAACACAGACATTAGCACCAGCCTGTCCTCTCCACGGCTGTGCTGTGGCACTACAGCGGCTTTACCGCTCCCGTTTGCGCTGTTGTTGTGTAAAGTTACCGTTTAGAGACGGACTGGGTAAAGTTAGCGGTTCTACTTTGTTTGGCGGCAGTTGCTGAAAAGTTTTTACCTCTGGGGAGATGAGCGGACACACCCAGTGAGCCAGGTCCGGCTCATGTTCCTGTAACTCAGCTGATGTCAGCGAAAAGGACAGTTTGGTGTGCTAACACTGAGATCATGCTGGTGCTGTCACACCTGTCCTCTGTCTGTATGTGACGGAGAAAACCATACATGGAGTTTCTCCTGTTGTATGGAGGGACACCTCTGTCAGCCCCCTGACTTTGGAGGTCCTGTAATGGTCACCTTAACCCTCCGGTGAAGTGCAGAAATGTGAGGAGGAAGGCAGCTAGGTGAGTGCTCCGTGTTTACATGTATACAGTACTGTTGAGGTGCTGGTGGAGGGACGATGCTGGCAAAGCAGCAGCACTTTTCCTTCTCTTTGACAGCTGTGGGTCTGTGTGAGGGGAAAGTGGCCGTGTGTGGTTCGTCACACACACTCGTGTCATTCTGGGCTGACTAACACCTCATTTAAAGCAGCAGTGACATCCTGTAAGCTCACAGTCTCATGATCTTCTGAAACCCTCGTAAACAGCTCCCGAGCACCGCGCTGATCCAAGCACAATAACAGCTCTTCCAGGAAAAGCAGGTCATCAGTTTTGTGGGAATTCCCGTGGTTTCTAAAAGCTGGTGGGCCATTTTTATTTGTTTTGGGGGAAATTGTATTTAAAGGGCCCATATCCATTTTTATAGTGTTATGAGATGTTTATGAAGAAAGTTACCCCCCAGCCCCACAGGCCTCTTCCAAGGTTTATGGTTATGATGAAAGAACTGACCTCCCAGCCCATTGTTCCTCAGTGGGCTGGTGTCAGTCATTATGCAAATGTACTGATTATAAGATTATAAACCTGCAGCTGAGACTGAAGAAGTCAGCTGGATGATGATGAAACGTTTCTCCCACAAAACGCTACGTCCAGATGAACACAATCGACTTTTGGAGACTCCTCCAAGGTTCCCTTCTTCCTACGTGGACAGTGGGTACTCATGTTGAGCTAACATCCACCCACGGGCGCTGCTTCTCACTTCTTCTGAGCTAAGTGGAGTTTGATAGCATGCTGCTAAAAAATCACTATGACTGAAACTTTATTAAAAGTTTTTTTTATCTCCAGTAATTTTATGTTCCAGAAAATGGTACAAATATCAGAAGAGTTATGTGACAGCACGCAAAGCAGAAATAACCAAACTGACACTTTCCTGTGACCCGGTGAAATCCCAGTGAGTTACTTTAGCCGGTGACATTCCCGCAGGAACAGGAAATCCTGCTGTGGATAACCTAGAGGAATGGTGAGCTTTGGTCAGTGTGTAGCTCTGAGGAGTAACCATGCAACAACCCATTTATAACCAGCAGGGACGTACAGCCTGTGTACTGCATTTTAATGCAGACAAACTCACAAGTGAAGTAAGTAAAAGTTTCTCTTGTTGTCAGAACAACTGTGAAATCTGGGCTGTAATGTGGTCCACAGCAAACACAGAGCTGCTCACTGAGCTGCTGAAGTCACATTTTCTACCCACTGTTTCTAAGTAGAGCTGATCAGAGATCAGATGACAGAAAGCGATCGCTGAGCCGAGGTTGTAGTCTGCTGAACGAGCCGTCCTATTGGCTGTTTCTGCCTGTCACTCACAGACGCTGATTTGAGAGCTGCTGACACTGAGACGGTCCGTTTGCAGAGGTACTTCAGGTAGATGTCATATCGATGTGAACCGAGCGTGAATGTTATGAGTGTGGATCATTATCTTTGGTTACTCTTGACGAACCTGCTCAGTCAGGCTGCTGCTGCCCACTGACTAACAGACGGTCTGTGCTGAGAGTCATGCAGGTTATTTATGTAACTTAAGTTCACTGAATTATCTTGAAAGCCCGCTGCGGTCTTTTCCTGCTGTGCATTAGCATTAGTGCCATCCTCTCAGGTCTGTCATTGAATAGAAGTGAGGCTGTGTGCTGATGTAGGTAAGTGCGTAGCAGTGATAAACGGCGCCTTACTCAGCAGGCCGACGGGGCTTTGTCTAGTTCTGTCTGACTTAATTAGAAGTAGAAACTCGGCCTGGACGAGCACTCGGTGTACTTCTCTAGAAGACGCCCACCGACATGTTCTGATGTCCAGATATTTACACACAGTAGTTGTAACTGATATGTGTAACACATCAAATATGAAAAGCATTACATCCTGTTTCCTTAAAGGAAGAGGAACTGCTTATGCAAATAAGTGTTTGTGGAACACAATGGTAGCCCAGGGTCGGTGTGTTTCAGTTTTAATTAACGCCTCACGGCCGGGGTCTTTCACTCATTCAGGCCTCTGTGGAGGTTGTAACTGTATCTGCTTTAATAACCGGTAGAGTTTTTTGAAGGGGAAGCACAAACACGGACATCATTTGGTTAGCAAAGCAATAAACCATCATATTGGTTATTACTTTACAGCCGCGTCCTGGCTTCTGTATCGATGCCTTGTTACAGAGTAAAGTAGGGGAAAGTGTAACTGTCACGGTCGGGACGAGCAACATCTTTAAACTGAGTATTTGTTGTTCATTTCTTTTTTAGAGCACACGTCGCTCTCTCTGCTCAAGAGATGCAAAGCCTGGGAGATTAGATTTCACACAGTTGTTCAGTCGCCTCGCTGTCTCATTAAACCCACGTCTGTGTTTAAGCTGTAGCTGCAGGCCGCAGCACCATGTCTCGCTCCAGCGTGGAAGTATTACAAGGCAGATTGAGGTTGACCACCTCGCCTTCTCCGATGGTACAGACAGTGTGAGAGCAGTGAAGTTTACCGCCACCGCCGGCTCCGTGAAGACAGATGGAGCGGAAATGTGAGGTGGTGCTTTTATTTCTTCCAAGGACGGCACTGCAGGCCGCTGCGCTGGTGTAGGTGGTATGTACCGGGGCCCGTTGTGGTTATTTGTCAGGAAAATGAAAAGATATGTTTACATTGCAATGAGAGGTAAGTAGTGGGCAGCTGGGAGTTGCTCAGCAGGAACAAATACATTTGTGATGAAATGTGTGCTGAGAAGTGGACTCATCGGTCTCTCCGTGGTGAATCAGTCCAGTGGAATGCTCCGGGAATGGGAACGACTCGAGTGTCTGGATAAGATCATCAGGGTCAGCTGCAGCATGGGGCGCAACGATATCTGCTTTGTGTTAAAGGCTAAAGCGTGCTGCTGATCCACTGCAGGGATCAGTGAAGACTTCGTATGCGTTTACGTTTGTTTGAAAGGCCCCGCTCGCTGCGGCCGGAGGGCGAGGACTGTTACAGACGATCCGGGTCCCTGCTGCCCAGTTTGGTCAAAGACTTCTCTGTACACTCTCCTGGCTGAGGGTCGTTAGTATGCACAGTGGGGAGCTCACTTTTTGAAGATGTCTCTCGTGCTGCTGCGTGCTGTCTTTGAAAGTAGAAAAAATCATTTCCTGATGCCCAGATGTTTGGTAAATAACCCCGCGGGTCTTTATTTGTTTGTGTGTGACCTGCTCGTACTCTTACCTCCATCGTATTGTTTTATCACAGCGAGCTCCAATTATGGTTATAGTGGGAACTGTCTGCTGCTCCCTCACTTCTGCTGGAAAAGAAGGAAGTGTTGAGAGGACAGAAGCATTAAAGTGAAAGCTGTTTAGCATGCGCGACGTATCGGTGGGCCACATAAGTGTTGTGATTGACTCAGTGGATCGGTATCGAGATGAGAAAACTAACTGATCTCCTTTGGAAATCCTTGGAATTTGGAGGTTTGTTATTTAGGGAATAAACATCACTGTTTTCTTCATCAGACGGGGAGAGGAAATCCCCCCCCACCCCTGGGATCAGACGAATGTGGAAAGACGGAGCATCCTCGGGCTCTTTACAAGTCTGGCTCAGATGTCTCGGCTTTACTCGGCACATAAATCCAGTTTGGGGTGCTTCACACTTTGTTTGCTGTAATCTTTTGTTAGGATCTGCGAGAGTCTCTGCAAACCTCCGTACGTCTTTGCCAGAGTGTGAGGATGAGTGCAGAGGGAACATCGGGCCGTTCTCCAAAGGGAATCTTAATGAATTCTTGCGCTGGTGTCATCTATATTTCAGGAGCCTTAGAAACCAGAGCGGCCTTGTAGGCGCCCCCCATAACCCCACCGCCCCGAAGAAGGACCAGCACCGCGCAGACTCAGCTCCTGGATGTGGGTCATGCTTAAATATGAATTTTTCATATCTTTTGCAACTGTCCCCTGATTTTGACCCTGCATTCAAAGTCGCAGCACAGCTGGTGGAAATGTGACACGACCCCACCCTCGCTGTGTGGACTTCCCTCGGAAACTTTCCACTAAGCACACGTGATGCGCATGTTTCACACTGCCTGAGTTTATTGGCTCTGACTGCTTTGTTTATGATGGAGTCTGTGTCTGCGCTGGCGTACGGAGAAGTGGGTCGCAGTAAATAATTTACACGGTGACCCCTCCTCTGTGTCAGCTGCCTTCCTGATGGGTGTTTGGGTATGTGTAGGCTTGTGTGGGTATCCTGGCCTGTGACTGATAACAAAGACAGGAAGAGCACAGATCAGATTTCACTTCCTGCTAGGATATAGGAAGACCACGATGCCTCATCGCCGGCATCAGCAGCTATCGTACGACGGCTGACGCAGCAAGACGAGTTCTGCTGTCAGACGATGTAAAGAAGCTGACGTTCACACACAGGTTGTTGCTGTTTGATTTCCCTCCAGGAGTTTGTAGCTTCTGCAGGGCTCTTCTATTACATGTGTGAGAGGCAGGAGGTTCCTGAGTGTGAGCACTGAGCCCACTCTGTGAAATGAAGTGTTTGCTGTTTGGGTGGAGCAGATTTAGAATAACGCCAGGAATCAGCTGTGTGCTGCTGTTAGTGTGACAGCTCAGAGGAGGCTCAGCATCGTCCCAATGAGGGAGCTGGGGTTCCTGTGATGGACTGTGCAGACTTCATCTCAGCTCGTATGGTTCGTGCACGGAGTGGCCAGCTGTTGCGCCTCAGTGGCTGATGAGTGTTCGCCTGTCCGGCATGAGCATCAAGGGTGCAGAGCGGATAACAAACGGGGAGTGACGATGCCTTAAACACAGATGGGGGTTAACTAATGAGGACTGAAAGTCATCAGTGTTTATCAGGGCTGGAATTGTGTTAGCAGGCTGCTCTGCAGGAAGCGATGGGTCATAAGAGCTCAGGATACAGATACAGTCACAGATGCATCCTATGATATGGATGCAAAAACATCAGCTTCTCTTTATGACGATCGCCTCTCAGTTACAGCAGTGAGCTGATAATGTCTGCAGTAACGCATTTCCTTCTGAACACGGGACTTTGACTGATTGTTGACTGCTGTGAGTTTTTACTTTAAGCCTTGTGATTTAAGTAGAGAGTACGAGAGAGCAGTTACATATAAACACAGCGTGTCCCTACCACAGGAAAAAGTCCACCAATGATGTCAGCACGAACTGTCACATGGTTTTCATGTGTGACACTAACTGTGACAACAGGAAGTGAAGTGTTTTTACCACCACGGCCCGTCCACCAGCTCCACTCGCATCTGACTTTCTGCCTGCTTGTATACAAGCTCCTGTGACGCTTCGTGTAAAGGTGGTAGATAAGAAACGCTTAATGCCAGGAAAAGATTCCTCGGACACTCAGTCATCTCCTAACTGATCAGATCAACAGGCTTTCACACATTGCTGGTTATGACTGAAGCTGTCGGCCGTGCTCAAACATACAATGAAGAAGCACTTTTGATTCCTGCTGAGCACTGCAGGTAAACATTGCTAGACTGCTGATTTGTTGTGAACCTTATTTGATGCACTCCACAGCACCACGTCCACAGCATAGAGCAGGTGAGGGCACGGCAGCTATCGTATCTGACACAGAGAAGGTTGTGAAGTCGGGTAAAAGCAATTGACTGTGAGCTTTCACCTTGTGAGGGCAGAGCCATTACAGAGCAGATAGATGGCAGGCACGTCTCCCTGCTCTTTAACCAGTTTAGCACACGGTGGCCTGTTTAATGCATTTGTAAATGCTGCTTTGCACTGAAGAATGATGGCTTCATTACTTCTGATCAGTTGCAATGACCTTTTGATGGCGAACTTTATAAAGTTCTAGGATTCACGAGTAGGCAATTTGGCGCTTTAATGGAGATGATGGGGGTTAAGATTTAAGATTAGCTGGAGCACAGCCTGGAGTCCTGGCACAGCGAGTCAGAGTGAAAGCTGCTAAGAAACAGCTGCCATCTGTCCTCGCGCTCGTCCACGGTACGCTTGTGTTTTCGGCACACGGAGGTTATTTACTGTACGCACTGATGTTTCCGCTCTTGTCCTCTACAGGTCGTGAGTGTGTGTGTGTGTGTGTGTGTGTGTGTACCTGTGCACATGTGTTTGAGTGTTTAAGAGAGGCACAAAGAAGAATCCAGTGATGGCTGCCAATAAGGGTAAAAACCAGAGCTCTCTGGTGCTGCACAAGCTGATAATGGTGGGCAGCGGCGGCGTGGGAAAGTCAGCCCTCACCCTGCAGTTCATGTACGATGAGGTGAGTTAACACTTCTAAGGCACTGCTGTAGCAAGGTCACGACAGCAGATGAGGGGGTTTGGCTGTAGGCGTGACCACTCTTCATTTATTTTACTATCTGGATTTTATTTGCAACCTTTATGATGTTTTCAGTGGTTTGCCATAAATGTGAAATGAGTCCCTTGCTCCCTGTAGCCTGAGACTAACAGCCACTCCTGCCTAACAGAGGCGCTGCTGTCACTGGTCCCCACCTGTGTCGGGGAGAGCTCCGGCTCCCAGCAGCATGTCTGCAGGCGTTTTTGTCCATGCGTCTGATTTCCATGTTAGCCTGCTGAGTCACTGCTGATCAGGCGCCACTGCTCTGCCTCTTCACGTGTAGTTTGTGGAGGACTACGAGCCCACCAAAGCAGACAGCTACAGGAAAAAGGTGGTTCTGGACGGGGAGGAGGCTCAGATCGACATCCTGGACACCGCCGGGCAGGAGGACTATGCTGCTATCAGGGACAACTACTTTCGCAGCGGGGAGGGCTTCCTGTTGGTCTTCTCCATCACAGAGCCCGAGTCCTTCGCTGCCACTGCTGAGTTCAGGTACGGATGCGTGCGTTCAGTTTGGTGCCATTAATGAAAGCCGGCGAGTGGTTAAAAATGACATCACTGATCATCAGCCATCGTCGCTCGTTACATATCTGCGGTAGAGTATCCCGAGTCGGCACATCAGCAACAATCTGCACCCACGAGTGTCTTTCAGTGTCTGGATAATACATGAATATCCAGATCGTGTAGAGTCACACCCACGTCACAGTGTCAGTGGGGAGGCGTGTCAGTGTGGACGTGTTGTGGCAGGAAGGTGCAGATAGGATTAAAGCACAGCAACAAAACACTGAAGCTTAATGCAAACGTTAGTCAGCAGCACTTTGAATCAAACACGTCAGCCTCTGAGGCTCGCTGAGAGGGGAGAGGATGGGATCCTCCAAACGGCTACAATGCAAGTTAGATTAGTGTTTTTCAGCAGTGTACATGACGGCAGCACGTCCGTCGACAGAGTGTGGAAACATTAAAGCGCCGGCCCCGATCCTGCTAATCAACCTGTAAAAGTCTTTGTTTCTGTGACGCTGCCAGCTGGTTATCATGTTGGATTTGGGAAAACGTCCTGAGAAAGACCAAATAATCATTTGTGCTCACAGGGAGCAGATCTTGCGGGTGAAGGCAGAAGAGGACAAGATCCCGCTCCTGCTGGTGGGGAACAAGTCGGACCTGGAGGAGCGTCGGCAGGTGCCCGTGGACGAGGCCCGCGGGAAGGCCGAGGCGTGGGGCGTCCAGTACGTGGAGACGTCAGCAAAAACCAGAGCCAACGTTGACAAGGTATCATCACGCAGACGCACCAGCACAGAGCTGTGCTCAAGTTTTAGGCACTGAAGGTGACGTAAACGGGATTCAAAAGAAATTAGAGTGCGCCTCCCAGTGGGGCCGTTTCCAGCATGACCCACTGGGATGAGGCCCAGACCCAGGAAGGAGGTGGGAGGGCACAGGGAGGTTTAATGCCCACGACCCTCCATACAGCAAACAAAGAAATTCTGAGAGCTGGTTTAATCTCTGTGGACCTGCCACACTTCTTTTTTGAATTATTTTTGGGGAATTTTAGCCTTTATTGAGATCGAGCAGGGGAGGGCGTGCTGATGCACACGGGTGACCCGCTCAGCCCGATGAGTTGTACCAACGCCCGCGTGCTGCTGGTCTTACTGGGAGCCGTCACATAGAGTACTGAGGAATCGGAACGTGCCTGAAGCTTCTGCACAGCTGAGCTTTTGACTCTTTCACACACGAGTCCTGTATGTGTTATAAATATGCGATTGATTTCTTTCCAGGTGTTCTTTGACCTGATGCGTGAAGTGCGAGGCAAGAAAATGTCTGAAAACAAAGACAAGAACGGGAAAGGGAAGAACAAGAAGAACAAGAAGAGCTTCAGGGAGAGATGCTGTTTACTTTGAGCTCCTCGTGGACCTGAAAACACAAAGCTCCACAGAACAGAGGAGCAGAGCTCAGCGTCTTTGATTTCAATGAATCTGATTATTTTTTATTGATAGCTTGTTATAGTTTCATGTCTAGAACAATCGCAACCACTATGTTGCCAATCTGAATGAATGAAAGCTGACTGGCTCTGCTGTGAGGATGGACGGCGACTGCAGCGCTTGATGGCTCACAGGAAGCCAGCGACCAAACTGCCATTGACACTAACTGTGCTGCTCGACGTGTTCAGCGGTTTACTGCCTTTGCTTTGGTTCCTCTCTCTCTACAAAGCCGTTAGTTTGTTCGCCTCCTCTAATCTGGGCCTGCAGTCACAGTGTAGACTGCATGTACACTGATGGCCTCTCTGTGGAGCAGGTTTCCATCGCCCACTTTGTGTTTGCAGTAGCTGCTGAAGCTGCAAGTTTAATGTCCGGTTTCCCCCCCCGCCTTCAGGTTTCTTGAATATTTTTCTTCCATTTCATGCGAGGAATTGTGAGGTTTTTACATCCCAGGAGGTTCACGCAGTGCAGTCGTGTCCTGACACGATCACCATAAATCAATGTTAAAACACATTTTCAGTGAGAAAGCTGTAAATTACATCCTCGCTGACTCAGAATCCACTCATTTCTCTTCACGTACACGCGATGAGATATTTTAACGTTTGTTCTGTATTTTAAGAATGTGGGAAATGAATGGTGAGAGAGCTCTGCCACGTCGGTGTGACCCTCCTCAGAGCACAGACGCCACTGTTTGTCCAGCAGCGAGGTTTGGATCGGTGCTGGGAGGCACGACAATCCAGGAGGCCACCCTGCTAATGCATTCAGTCTGTTAGTCTCCATAGTCCTGATCTTCTTTTGAATAACATGCACTACATTGTCAGTACCTTAGAAGTGGCTTCATGCTGTGTTGAGTCGCGCTGTGCCAACAAAATAACAAAAATTCAAACTATGTTTGTGGGTGTGTGGTATGTATGTTGTGTAAGAGTGTGTGTGCATGTGTGGGAGAACCTTACCTTGCTGTGTGTCTGAGTGAAGCTCTGATGCTCCAGCTCTTGTGTATTCAGATGTTCATGGTGACCCTGCTGTGTGTTTGTTGGCGGCTGTGAGCTGCTGAATAAATGCTTTTCTTCCTTTTTCATGTCTTTGTAAGGAGCTCGATTTAATGTCCGACTTCCTGCAGACAGACGTAGAAACGTTGGTGGTGCGTCAGGTAAGGGGAGCCGGTGTGCCGCACAGCGCCCTCTGGTGGAGGCAGCGGAGCCACTTACTTTATGGCCACAGTTACAGCGACATTATCCACTGAAACGTGGCTGCCCGTCCGTGGTCCCCGTGGGGCATACGGCCTAGTTTGGTCAAATAACCCAGCACTTACTCACTTTGCATCGATTGTTCCTCTGCCATCAGAAGAGTGCCAACGGCCTGTTTTTTCTCCAATCTGACAGTGATGTAGTAGCACCATTTACATTAACCTCACAGCCTTATCTTACACGGCAGGAATTGTGTGACGCCACCCTGGAGATGAACCGGTCGTGGGCTCTCGTAGCTGAAGCCCCGGGGGCGGCCGGGTCACTGAAACTCATTTCACAGTGTGAAAACACGGTTGACTACATCACCAGGCAAAGGCTGACCATACATCACTTTGAAAATAGTTTTCGTGTGAAGGGTGGGAGGAAGCTCCTTCCCTGGTGTTACAGGAGGGGCTGCTGTAGTTCCAGGTACACACCGCCCTCCTCCACACAGCTGGGGTTATTCCTGTGTTGCTGTTAAATCTGACTTCATCTTATTCTGCCTCGTTTTGAAACGTCCCCGAGTATTCAAGCTGGGTTATTTATATAATGTTCCGGGATTATGGATTTGCTCTTTTTCAGCGGAGCCACGCTCCACTGTCCGAGCCGAAACATCCCTCACGTCCTCAGGCTGTGCAGCAGCTCCGGGCCGGCGTCTGTACCGCGCCACAGATAAGACTCCTCAGCTCGCTATTGATCATATAGGCCCGCGCAAATAAAGGGAAAGCTAACATGAGAAATCGTGTGGGGAGTTTCAGCCTGTAATGATAATGGCTCCACATTTCCTCCACACTTAACACAAACACACTAATCCTCCGTAATTTCCATCTCCGGTGAAACCTACTAGGTTTAAAAGCCTGTGGCAGCATTTCCACCAGAGGAGCTAAACATGTCACAGCTCTGATAAGCACATTTACCTGCCTGACACTCACCTCTCTGGATCCCCACTCTTCGCCTGCGCCTCTAAGTAGGCAGATTAGGTGGTCTGTTAAACCCACAGGAAGGCACTTATTTAGAAATACATGAAAGGGCAAAGTGAGCCCGGCTAATGACCGATGCTGTGTCACCGGCACACTCTGGGGTCTTTTATCATTCTGCAGAGAGGCCCCCGTCCTCTGAGTAACCCTCATTATATCTGAGCTAATGTTGGGGATGAGGATGTTCGAGTGATAAAGCACCATCACAGTCCTTCATTATACAGAAAGAGAAACAGACTCGGTGGAATTGTGCTCGCCCTGTAAGATAAATGCAGCGGACAGAGAATAACTCCTATTTTAGCGACTGTGCCACATCCTGCTGTCTGCGTGCAGTCTCTGCGGGAAACGCCTGTCCACGCTCTGCCCACAGGATGGCAGTGTTGCTGTTCTGCAGGCCTGCTCTGAGCACCAGTGATGCCACTGTGCTCCCTACTAGGATTCATCCACTGGTGATTGTTGATTGACTGAATGAATGTTTGTCAGTCCTTATTAAACATTTAGTTCATGGAAAATTAATGGCTGGTTTATAACTGCGCGCATTCATATTAATTATAGTATCGCATAATTAGAGATGGCAGATGTCTTTTTATTTAATTTTTATGAATCAAAACAACTTTCATTGGATAAGGTGGACGTTACCTCTCGTGGTCCGCTAATGAATGAATGAGCTTGTTTTCACTGGTGTAAGCGTGATAAACCCGCCCACAGACACCGTATCTGCAGCACAAAATCAATCACCAAATATAATTTGACCATAGCTCCGTGCTGTCACTGTCGCAGCAGCTCTGCTGTGAACAGCTCACTTTGCCCTGCATTGTGTTGCTGAGGTGGAGCATCATCACCAGCTCCACGCTGTTGGAGCAATGATGGCGGTAACAATCATTCTTCCTTTGGATCGGTAAAGTCGAACCTTGGGCGAGTCCTCGGTGTCTGTTGGTCAGGCGTCACATGATCTCCACTGTTGGTCGAAGCTCTTTGAGTTGGATGTGTCCCGGTCAGGGCGCAGCAAAGATGCAGGCATGTCCAGACTGACTCAACCCTGGACTGTGTATAAAAGAAGGATGTGGTCACCATGATGTCGTCCATTAGTTTATGACTGCACAGTTTGAAGCTGAAAGCATTTCTTTGCTGCTATTTTTTTTTTAATATTAGGGTGGAGTGCTCAGTTATTGGCTAATGCTAACAATCTAGCTCCATCCATGTACTGTATGTATCACACAGACTCAGACACCATCTAATTACTAACATTACTAATGTGCACATGCTAGCACTCTGTCAGTAGACAAATACCCGGAGCTTCTGTTGGTGAAAGTAAGTGCACAGCAAACAACTTGGTCCAACACTGCTAACCAGTCCTTAATAAACAGGTGAAGCACAGCTAGCTTTAGCTGCCTGTATCAGTGTCCACTGACCCATGTGCAGCTGTTATGGAGGCTAATTTAGCTAAAGAGACCAAAACAGTTTGTTTAGCAGTTAAGGAAAGTTAGGCATTTTGAGCCTGAAACCCTGAAGGAGATGTGAGGATGGTTGGATGGATGAGCAAGCAAACATCAGAGACTATAGGCAACGACAAGCCATCCTCAAACAGCCACTCAGTATTTCTTGGCAAGTAACCACTGAAGGACCAAAAATCACCATCCAAGATCAGAAGTGAGAGATTCTTTTGGATAGTTCACATTATTTGTTATCATTTAAACTGCACTACATGGTTGCTTCAGGTTTGTCAGCCGATCGTCCTTGATGTGACTCTCCTGTTCCACCACATTCCAAAGGGGCTCTGTTGGATCAGGTGACTGTGAAGGCCATTTGAGAACACTCAGGTTCAAGAGACCAGGATGTGGCACGTAGTTAGAAGCAGCCCTCAGAAGATGGTGCACTGTGGTCGCAAAGGGACGGACACGGTCACAATGTTCACCCAGAGAACTGCTGCTCGTGGGTCGATCAACTTCTGAAATACCCTGAGCAGCCCACCTGGTACCAACAACGATCCCACGTTCATGTTTCTTCCTCATTCTGATGTTTGAACTTCAGCAGGTCGTGTTGATCATGTCCACATGCCTAAATGCACTGAGATGTTGCCATGTGATTGGCCGATTCGATGTTTGTGTTAACGAATGGTTGAGCAGGTGTACCTGGGGGAAGCATTAAGAGTATTTTATATGATGCTATCCAGAGTGGTCTGACTGATTCTGAATATGAGACGAGCAGAATGACACGAACGATGTGCTGAAGTGCTGATTTCTTCAGTTGGCTGAGAATTTTAAGAAAAAAAGCAGCTTGATTGAGTTATTGTGCATATGGAAAATTATCTGAGCCAGAAGGCACAGCCACAGTTTTTATGGATATGCTGACCTTATTTCAGCATCTCACCAGAGACGAGACTGGCAGTTTACACACATTAGCACAGTCCTGTAATCACTAACAGATGAGACACAAACTCATTATCAGGATCTGATGCAACTGTTCACTGTAGCTTAAACTGATGAAAGCAGCTCTGCAGCAGCTCTGCAGTGACATTACAGCGAGCACATCGGACCTTCACTTGGGTGAGCGTCAATGTCATGACATCAGAAATGCCACGCTGTCAAAGAGGCACCGATTTAACTTGTAGGACACGTTTTTTCAATAATCAGGAAGGTTGTTAAAGGTGCCGTTGCACATGGAGATGTATTGTTCTTCCACAATTATTGATGCTAGAGGCGATATGTGTTGTGTTGTGGTTAAAACCCCAGCAGGAAGCTCATTCAGCAGGTATCCAGAAACAGAAATGGAAACACTGCAGGCCGACTGATAAATAAATGCCTAAAATACCAGCGGACCAGTTTTTGTGCCACATTTGAAGGACTTGGCAAATTAATACTGCATCTGGTACATCAGAAAAACCCCTTTCTGTCATTGTGAAAGCAGGATATCAGCCTTTCATTTTTCATTTTTCAATTTTTTAACAAACAAACAGTCCTCTGCATTTAAATGAGTATCTTTACACCTTGTGTGTTTTATCTTGAGCTTCGGTTTTCTCACCATCTGCTGCCGTGCAGCTTCAAACAGGCTGTGGAACAAACAAAATATTGTTTCTCTGAACATTGTTTTACGGCGCACTTATACTCACCTTTACTCATGCATTATTAGTTACTGAAGCAGACATGACGGCACACTGCAAAGCTGTTTTTCTGTGGTCAGGCGCGTTTCCTTACCAGCTGTAAATGATTGGTCTCATCCAACAGCCCCCACTTATCGAGCTGGAACATTATTATTGCATCCAAAAATGTACTTATTGTTGATAATTGGAATTAAAGAATTACAAAAGGGAGATGGACAGCAGGTGTTCTCCACACCAGCCTGCACGTATCAAGGCCTTCCCTCACAGCAGATTAATTAAGTCCTTGCACAGCCATCAGGTATCTGCTGTTTCCAATTTGAGTGTCAAAGTGTAATTGCGAATGCCATATCCACCGTGGTTAGCCTGATTAAATCTTGCACAGCCGTCAGCAGCCTGTTGCAGAATAACAAAACAAACCTCTGTGCCTATTCCACGCTGCCTGCCAGGTAATGCAGTAAATACAACCAGGAGAGTTGGAGACCCTCAACATGCAGCTCCACTAAGAAACTGAGATAATTAAAACTACGTTTCAAAGGAAGGACTGCTTCCTGTGAGCCGACCAGATCTGGTGCGGGGGGTCCTCAGTCAAAGCAAACTGTTTAACCATGGATGGCGAGAGGAACGTCAAACACATATAGTGCCGAGGTACAGTAGATTTATGTTTGTGCACACCAGGAGAATAATGGTCAGTGTTCATTTGCTGTCAGGCTTCAGTGAAATCTCTGAGAGCCATGAACCTCGCGTTTCTCTCATTTACCACTGTGCCACCGCAAAA